CCAGCTCGCTGTGTCCATTGACAGGGTCGTGTTGTGCTGCAGGGAGAGCATGCAGTGAGGGGTCACTCCCAGGACTTCAAACACACACAGGTCACAAGATGAAATGGTTTGAATTGCTGTGCTGTCCTGCATCACAGGGGTCCTGGGACACTGCAGTTCTGAGACACTCCAGGAACACACACAAAGCCACTGCCCATGACATCTGCCCTCATGCATTTATTCACTGAAGCTGTCCCTTAATTTTGAGCATTAGTTGCTGGATGATGACTAAATATCATCAGACACTGAATGTTTTTCATGTGCTACATTGTTGGCTACAGGAGAAGGATGATTTCTTCACCATCTTCCCTAGAGCTTTGTCTCAGAAGCAATTTCATTACATGATTGCATAACACTGAAGCTATTCCTCACACAGTCACTGACAGGTTTATTCCCTTTAGATTTTTCTTCCTCTTTGTCCTAAGTAACTGCAATGCTGCATGGGAGAAACTGACTCTGGAGCAGAATGAGCAGTGTGACCATCAGTGACCTGGAGTTACCCACCTGGAATGATGTTATTGTTAAAGGTCCATGTTATTTTGGGTACAGGTATCCCAGATGCTTTGCAGGTTAATCTGAGCTGTTCTCCTTTAGTCAAAGCTACATCTCCAGGCAGTTCAGTAAAAGTTGGGAGTACATGAACCATCAGGGTGAGCGTGTGTGTGTCCTCTCCAGCAGCACTGGTAGCAACACAGGTGTAACTGCCAGAGTCTTCAGGCTGGAAGGAAGCAGGTTGGGGAAATTTCAGTTGTGATCTATCCCACACAACATGCCACTCCCAATGGTAAGAGAATCTCAAAAGGTCTGGAACAAGCACTCAGCAGAAATGCTCAGCTGAGCTCTTTCACTGCTCTAAATTTGAAGGATGACCAACATTTCTTTCTACCCTTCCTGAGGACTGACCACTGCAAATTCTTCACAGATTTTACTCCTCAGTGGAAAATGAATTTTTTTATATAAGAACATGAAGAACAAGAACACACAATAAAACAATGACTAATCCAGAAGTAGATCTTATCACTGCCAAACCTGTCCAGGAATAGCTTAAATTTAAGGAACTTACAACAACATTGTCCAAAACGAGGTCTCCACCTGCCACAGCCCTGTATTTTCCTACAGCCTCTGTTAACAGCACGTTGTCCTTCTTCCAGCTTATTGTTGGTGTGGGAATCCCATCAGCCACACAGGACAGGACAGCCTGGGAGCCCTCGGTGACTGTGTACTGCTCGTCCATGCTGCGGATCCTGGGGGGAACTGTGGGGAGATTCATCACAAAAATTACCTCTATGTTCCAAGCACTACTGCAAAGGCACAGCACACTGGGCTGAAGAAAACACTGCCTGCATCTTCTGTGTTGTTCCCTATCTTCATCAACGACCACACTCCTAAATTCAAACAACTGGCTGATCCTAAACCCCAGTGAAATTCCCCCATTACGTAGCAATTTTCCTGAACTCCTGTACATATCCTAGCTCCTTACCCTCCCCGTGT